TTACTTAGTTCTAGATTGAAATAATGATTGGTCATTGATTGTTTAGTGTTTAGAAACTATATTTTACAACCAATTTCATCAAAATCTCACAACTTTTCAAATAATTTTTGAATTTTCGAAATATTTAAAAAAATTTATTTTTAAATTATTGTGTTTTGAATTAATTGTGTTATTTACATGTTAACTATACATGTGTTTTTCAAAATTTATTTTCAATATTTTTCAAAACTTTGCCCATTAGATTTGTTTTAGAGAACCTTGAAATATTGAGGACTCAATTGAGTTTTGGGATTGATTGAATTGCATACATGTGTTTCTCTAAATTGCAAGTTATCCATTCTATTCCGATTTCTTAAACCATGTCAAAACGAGCTAGGTCTAGTCGTTCAAACCGTCAATCAAACATTCTTCCAAATCCTCCTCCTATCCCACCAAATCCTATTCATAATCCCATTGATCCTAATTTAACTATCCAAAACTCGTGCTTCAATCAACCTGGTCCTAGAAATCATCGTTTTTGGTATTATCAGTATTTTGACTCGTATAAAATTAGAGAATAACGTATCCCATCTTTTCAAGCGATGATTGATATCAATTTTAAATATATCCTTATCTTACGAGAATGGAAATTTGATAAACTCTGTGATATTGAACCTAAGGTTTACCATCAGCTTGTTCGTATCTTTTATTCTAATGATGTTTGTATTAAAAACCGAAATTAATTCGAAACCATAGGAGTTCGTTCCTACCTTCTAGGACAATACTTCTATCTTGACCCGGCTTACATAGCCAATGCATTAGGATTAGATAATGATGGTTTATCTAATGAAAAATAGTTATTAGGTTCCCGATATAAAAGAAGGGATAGTACAAGTGTCTTAGATCTTCATGAGCGTTTTCTTCATCTAATGATCACTTGGTGGTTTCGACCATCCGAAAGTCGTTACTCTACTCTTAGAGCTTTGGATCTTTGGTGGTTACATTATTTTGAAAACAATATTAAAATAAATCTTCCTGAGATTATTTTTGCTGAAATTGTTGAAACCGTAAACTTAGTTCCAAATAAGAAACTTTGTTCTTCTCTAGTTTATGGTTACATTCTGAGTAATCTTTTTTCTAAAGCCGGGCTTAGATTTGGTCTAGATGCCTCCTTTCCTCTTAAAAAACAAATCAATATTCTTTCCTTAACGAGATCGGGATGGACCAAGAATAAAGAAACCGGTTAATGGGTTCGATCTTCTGAGAATACTCCGGGAGCTAGTTCTTCACAAGCTCCACCAGAAGCTGACGACGATCCCGAGCTTGAACAATTAATGCAAGATATTGACGAAGCCGACGATGAGCCGGAGCAGCATGAGGAACAAGCTCAGCAAGAAGATCAAGTGCCTCCATATTTTCAATCATTTATGGAGACATTTGATTTCCGTTATGCATCATTGGATTCTCGCTTCACTTCCATAGAATCTCACTTCTCGACTATGGAAGCTCAACAATTGGAAATTCTCCGGGAGATGCGTGCAAACAATGAAGCAACCAACGCTCGTATTGATGCACTCACTCATGAAATGGCAGCTATGCGAGCTCATTTCCCTTCTTCCGATCCTCCTACGGATGCTTGAACTTTGATCTTTTCTTTGCTTGTTTGGATTGAACTTGGATATTTGCATTATTGTTAAAACATTTTGAATGCTTTTGGATTGTTTATTTTTGGTTGTTCGAACTTATGTTTAATACATTTGATTTGGATTTCGTGTTTATTTTGCATCTTTAGACATATATGACCAATTATCCATTACATGTTTATGAATATTGATTATGAAACTAATGGCTAACCTCTCTTTTGATTGTGATCTTAGCAGCTTAAGCTTTATATCAATAAATCAATTGGCTTACGTTTTTCAAAATTCTTGTTTAAAATGTTTTTATATGGTCTTTTTGATTTAACAAAAATGGGGAGAAAGTGTTAAAGTAAGGGGGAGAAAGTGTTAAAATAAGGGGGGGGAAAGTGTTAAAGTAAAGGGGAGTAGTATTTTTCAAAATCAAAATTCATTTTGAAATTAGAAAATCTTAAAATGTTTTGTTATATCAAAAAGGGGGAGATTGTTGAAAACATTTTGATGCTTCGATATAACAAATTAAATTAAAAGAATTTTAATTTTGAAAATGATTTTTCTAAGCATATTCGATATATTAAATCGAATATCAAAATATTACTGAAAGTATTTCAAAGTTCATTTTAAATCCTTACTAAAGTGTAAAATTAAGTTTTAATCTTAAAATAATTTCAAAACAATTTTATAAAGTATTTCGAACCGTTTCAAAGCCAAAAATTACAGTTTGTCCAGAGGGAACCGATTCCCCCTGAATGGTTTTGCTCCGAGAAATAACAGTTTGCTCGGAGGGAACCGATTCCCCCCAGGGGGTATCGATCCCCCCCACTGTTCAACGATCGAATATTTGAATTTTACACTTAGGGAACCGATTCCCCATGAGGGGGTAACGATTCCCCCCACGCTCCAAGCAGAAATATTAATTGTTTTCACACTTAAACGGCTCCATTAACTTCATTAATGATCCCCAACGTTCAGAAGTGATTCAAGGTGTATTTAAACAAGCTTAGAAGCCATTGATCAACAACAAGAAACAACAAGCAACTAGAATCAAGAGAGAATCAAAGAGAAAGCATCAAACGTCAAGTTTGTGCATTTCAAGCCTATTTTTCATTCAATATTCATTTTGCTTTCAATGACACTACTTGTACTCAATTGTATTCATTCTTGAGTGTTCTTTTCTTTGTTCTAGAATTGTGCAAATAATCTACCTTGTGAGGATTTCCTTGTAAGTTTGCAAATTTGTAATATTCTCTTTGGGAAAGAGTGTTCTCAAGAATTGGGGTATATTCTTGAGGGTGTTGTAAGGTTATCTGTTTGGCCTCAAAAGAAAGAACAAAATAGTGAATTTGTTGGAAAATCCTTAGTGTGGATAGCTAAGGTAGTGGACGTAGACTTTGATTGAGAAAGTTGAACCACTCTAAATCGCTGTGCAATTACTTTCAATTTTCTGCAAAAGCTTCCACAAAATTTTAATTGCCAATTCACCCCCTCTTGGCCGATTCCGTCAATCAATTAACTCAACAGTATGGTTCAGGGAAACCTACACATTTCAGTGCTCGCATGGGGTATTGATTATTATTTTTAAAAAGCATGTTTTATAAATAAACTTTTATTGAAATATTTATCTGAACATTTTTACTCACCATATGGAGCACACTGAGCTTTTTAGCTCACTCTTTAAATATTTACTTTTCAGATACTATCCGACAGTAGGTTAGTGGATTTGGCATCATAAGGATCGATTGTTCTCCCTTTTGATTATTGTATACTCCTACATGCCACTTTTGATATATTTTGGTGAAACGTGTTATACTACTATCCTGATATATTGTATTACCGGTATTTTGTTTTATGACGTTGGTAACTTTATATGTTTATCGTATGAATATTTCTAATGGATTATGTTGCACCATACCTATTATGGATTTTATTAAACGTAATGAATTTTAAATATGGAAAAGAAAATATATTCGATGTGACCGTCTAGATTCGATCGTAACGTCCATGCCGAGTCTATAGGGTTACACAACACTTTTAGCTCTTGGATTTATTTGGTAAAAAATACATGGTACATAAAGTTTTGTAATGTGGTATTAAAAAAACTCAAAACTAGCTGAAATTTATGACCTTTGAAATTTTTTAGTTATGCTTAATTTATTTTTTTAAATGCATAAAAATAAAAGATGAAAAAAATTCCTAAAAATAAAAAATCGATTACTTTAAATTAAATTCTAGGTTTTTTTAAATCTTTTAAAGATTCTTTTCATTTTTGTAATAATTTTTTAGTTTCTATTCTTATAAAAAATTATTATTCTTTATTTTCTTAAATTTCTATGTAGTAAAATCTAATTGAATCACATCATTTTTAATGAAAAAAATAAGGGCTAAATGTACTGACGGAATAGAAGTTGAAGATCCAAACTGACACAATATAGTAAAAGGGTAAAGTGAATATTTTATTGAAGTAGAGGGGCTAAAGTAAGTATTATTTCTTTTTATGTTAATAATTTTATTTTTTTTCTTATGTTTAGGGTCTATTTTTTATTCAAGTACGGATAGTTTTACAATGTGGATGTCTTGATATATCCCTTCAAATAAACGGTTGAAATTTGAGTGGTACAGAGTCGAGCAATGAAACATGATAGTAATCAAGAGTAGACACCTTCACTTTTACCAGTAGGAGAGGACTGAAGTCTATGTTCTGAGCAAGGATTAACTTCACAGTTTTCGTACAGTTCGATTCCATAGATCGGCTTGAAGAGTTATGACGATGTCAAGAGCTTTTTGAAATTCAACAATCAAACTATCAACATTACACCGTAATAGATCTTCGATGTGCTTTTTAAAATTTATGTGTTTTCTTTTCAAAAATTTTTTATTTTTTTTTATATAAAATTTTTAAAAGAATCATATTGTGACATACGTCACTTAACGGAAAAAACTAACACCGTTGAAGGTCTGGACACTTAAAATGATAATGTTTGTAACGTTAAGCACCTAAATGGACCAAAAAATAATGTAAGCACCTATTCAACACAAAAGATATAATTTGAACACTTATTTTGGACATTAAGCCTGATTTAAATAATTTTATAATTTTCAAGTTAAATAAATTTTAAATATTGGGATGACATTTTTTATTTAACAGAAAACTAACGAATCATGTTATAAAATGCTTATATGCCAAAACAAGCTCCTAGCATAGCATCATGCTTTATGACACCAATATATATGTTAAGGTAAAACCATTCGGCTTTAGCAAATACAAAACAGCCAAAGGTTATATTATGCTGAAACAAACCTGTGAATTAAGGTTATCAAACAACCATTACGAGACATGCTCTGAGACACAGAGTTTGCAAGGAAATAATTCATTTATCTTTAGATTCATTCAGATTGTATGCAACGAAATCAGTGATTACACTTTTGTGACTAAAACAGAGTTACTTCGGGAATCGAAACAATCCGATAACAAACTAATCACCTCAAAGCTTCCATGGTGTCATTCTTGTCAGCATTTGCAACACAAGTTCATCATCATCATCATCCCTATCCACACCCACATGATTTCATTTAACAATTATGTTAATTGGCCACAAGACATAACCCAGCATTACCATCCAATAAGCAGGCAGCCACGCCTTCTCCTACATTTCCAGGATATACAAACTATTAAGCCACAAGATCTCATCTCTTCAACCAGATAAACCAGGACAAAAGGAGAAACTCCGAACAAAGATCGATCAAGGGGATCATTTCATGAACGAAACAACCCATACCTCAAATACTAACCACTAAAAGGAGAAACCAGAAAAAACAAGGGCCAAAAGATACCCTTCGATCCCCATGACACAGTTCAAAGCAAAACTCCAAGAAACCACCAACTTCCACACCAGTGCCAAACCTAAAAACACCATAATATCTGCTCCAAGTTCGATTTCAACCAACCACAAGGATGAATTCATGCATGTAACAAGTAAGAACTCAAACACTATCGACCTCAAAGATTAAACTAATAGTACCTAACCACTAATAGGATCATTCAACAAAAATGAAACAACCGATTCCTCCACTCCAATTTCCACACCCTCAAAGCTAAACCCCACTTCAAATCGACACCCATAAAACAACTTTTTGCAACAATTGGACACCGAAAAGATCGAATCAAATCCTATTATATCCAGAAGTTGGCCTCAAAGGCTGAGTTCCAACAACAGAAAGCAACCCATTTTCCTCCTCTTCAACAGGGGATCCCAAATCTTCAGTTCCTCTAAAGGCAGCATGAACACCAATAACAACCACAGCAATAATCAACCCAACCAACACATTAACACCCACATGCGTCAAAACCAGTAAAAGCACAGTAGCAAAACTCAAAGCCCCCAAAACAACAGTATCATCCACGGTTTTGTTGAAAATAACTAATGGGTTATCATTAAACAGGTACAAGAACCACCAGAAAATGAAAGTTATAAGAAAAACTATCATCGAAGTAGGGTTCCAAAGGAGAGTCAAGAAGAGGATCGTCAGCGCTGTAATTACGTAATTTACCCGGAAGAAGGATACATTAAGCTTTATCCGGTCTTTGGCGTCGGCGGCGGAGATAGGGAGGGAGAAAGTGGGGAGGGAGAAGAGTTCCGGCCATGGGCGGCGCGTGTGTTTGGGGTGTGAGGAAATGAGGGTTGGGGCGGACGAGATGGTGCCGTAAGTTGTGGTGGTTGATGGCATTTTCGGACAAAGATTGGATCTGTAAGTGATTCGGGAAGAGAATGGGGAGATTGGAAGGGATATTAAACCCTAAAGTTTGGATCATGTGGGAGTCTTTTAAAGAGTTTCTTCTTTGTGAAGAAAATCTCTGAGGAAATCTCGAAAGAAAAACTCCAAGCTTTCCAATTTATTGAAATACCAAAAAAGAATTCTTGTGGGACTGAAAAGAATTATCGAAGACACGCCGTCTGTGGGAATCGAACCCACAACCTAAAGCCACGCGCCCAACCAGCTGAGCTAAGACTGCAAGGTTGACCCATCTTTTCATTAATATTTTAATTTGCATAATAAAACCATCAAACCACAAAAGCCCTGAGTCTTAATTGTATTATTATTGTTGTTATTGCTTATTATAATCATTGTTTAAAAGAGAATATATTTCAAGATAGGGGTGTAAACGATCCGAGTCGAACTCAAATATTGTTGAACTTAACTCGACTGAAAAACTCAAATGGAATTCAACTCGACTCGAAAATCCACGAGCTTAAAGTTTTCAAACTCGACTCGAACTCCTGAACTGAAACTCGTGTGCAAGTCAAAAAGACTCTAAATGAAAAAAAAATCTTAAACTTAACTCGATCGAAACCTCAAACTCAAACATAAACCTTAAATACATGAAAATATTACTGTATTTAAAAAAAAAATCAATACATAAATGTTAATATTATTAATAATTTATTTTAAAAAAATAAAATCTAAATATATTATATTTTCGAGCTGCTCACGAGCTTTTCGAGTCGAATATCAAGTAGCTCATTTCGGCTCGTTAAGAACTCGAGTCGAACTCGAGTCCATTCGATCCAAGTATTTATCAAGCCTTGATTGAGTCGATCTCGAGTAGCTCGCGATCTGTCTCGTCTCATTTACAGCCCTATTCAAGGATAATAACCTCAGCAAAAGTATTTAATAATCTTATCAATAAATGATTTAAACTACACTTTTGAATTTAATGATCTTTCGATATGATACTTGTACTATTAAAATGTTCAATATGCCCTCTACCTTTGGCATTAGTCTATACATCTAGCATATCTACACACATGAACCACTTATAATATCATCAATCCAATAAGTCAAAGGACTTTGAAATGATTAAGCCACTTTCAAAGGACTAAAAAACAATTTACTCATAAACCCCAAAGCATGTAAACCTCTTTTAATTGTGATAGAAATATGTGCAATAGTAATAAGAAAGTGTGTAATCATTGATGGACAAAAATGTTCATAAAACATGCTTCTAACGTACACTCGTGTTCATAAAACTTCCGCATCTTTTCAATTGCTTTTGGTGTTACCGGCAGCTAAGCAGAAACTTTGGGTTGTTCCTTTTCTTCACTATGAAACTTCCTCCCTGCTTCCACAGCTTCCCTGTAAATTTGGCGAACCCGTAAACGAAGCTAGAATCTTTTAGCCCCCAACGCATGAATATTACTTAGATTCGAGTGCGAGTGTCAAACATGAATATGTTCAAAATTTTCCTAAATGATTCCATGTATTTGAAAAGGTGTTTGTTCAAAATTTCCGTGTGTTCGAGTGAGTGTGTCAAACATGCATGTTACCTCCAGCAAAAGGCAAAATCAATTCACTGGCAGCAAAACATGGAGAACCTAAGTAGAGAGGACAAGGAGGTGAGTTTACAAACCTAAAAGCATTTACGAGTTCCTTATTTTCGGGGTCGAGCTGCACGCCCTCATAAAAGCATTGGCTGCTTCATCATATTTCTGCAGTAAAAGGAACAGCCGAAAATGGTTAGGAAACAAAGAATGACAATACTAGACTTTGACAAATTGGTTAACTAGATAGTAACATGCCTGCAACAATCGTAGAGCGGCACCTTCCCGATAGCAGCTTTTGGCCAGTCTGGTCTTAATGCTCTGCAAGCCTTTGCATCGGCTAAAGCCTGCTCAGGTTGTCCAATACGGATCCAACAAAGGCTTCTATTTGAAAGCAACGTAGCATCAGTTGGATCAAAATCAATTGCCTGTAAATGCACCAACACATGAGATTAAAGCACGTGATTACGGCACATAAACACTCAATCAACCAAATGCCAGAAAACTTTTCCTTCATGCGATGTACCACGCTTAGAAATCAAGTGCTAGCGTATGCAGTTTTGGATCATTTGAACGGAAAAGAGGCAGAAAAACAAGCCAAAATGCAAATTAGACACAATTAAAGTGAAGGTTAAATTTTTAGACGCAATTTCTAGTCTGGGAGTGGGAACAATAGGATCCAAGTCCAATCTAACAATAGAATAGCGGAAACATTGTTAATGCTTTTGCACGGGATGAGATTAAAGTCTTACTTGTGTATATGCATCCACAGCTGTAAGAAAATCTTTTCTTTTGAAAGCCTCATCTCCTCTTGACTTGGCTTCTGCAGCTTTCTTCTTTGCTTCGGGCACCACCTAGATAAATTGTTTATGGTTATACAAGGAGAATAATATATATGTTCTTTCATTACTTCAAACTCTCGGGTAATAAATCAGATATAGATTCCAACCATGGAAATTACTGAGCAACAGCTAACCACAAACAACAAAAACAAACACGGGAATCAAATCATTTAAAGGGAACCCACTCAAAGTCAAAGGGAAGAAAGTAACCTATCTAGAATGAAAAAATCAACAAGATAAATCACTGAATAGAAAAAAGTGGACACCTCAGGGAGATTGCTAGTTGGCAACACGGTGTCCCTCGTTCCCTTAGCTTCCTTCACATTTTTCATTTCCTCCTGCCAAATTCACCTCAGAAATAAATGTGAATAAGCGGTGTATATAGACATTTCCATTCCGATAAAAATAAGAAAGTTGAACAAAGTAGTGAAACTCGTGGCAATCCACTTAAATACGATTGACAAATCTAAGCAATACTAGACAATATGTTTTCTTTAGAGACAGATTTCCTCTTCTACCTCGTAAGTTATGTAATCAATTTCCTAGCATATGTGCATATTAGCTAAAAAGCAATCTCAAATTTGCCATACAAAGATGTAATTAGTTGAAATTTTTTATGACATCCATGTGAGACTTGAAAGGCACATGAGAAGAAAAGAGTACAACCACTTCATCACATTTTAAAAAAAAATCACAATGCCAAATGAAAATAGGAGTAAAAATAGATAATTGTACCAGTTGTTTGCTAGTTTCGGATTGCATGTATTCAAGAATACCATCTACTGTCCACTCTGGAATGGCGTCGATTCTTGATGTTAAAGGAAAAAGAATCTCAACAGCCTTGCGTTGGCCTCTGGCTGCTGCAACCTGTATGGGCTTCTGGCCATCCTGCGATGAGATGACAAAAATAAAAAATGCAGAATAAAGTCAACTAATAAATCTATAAAACCAGCACTCTTTACTTCGGTGGGAATTATACATTAATTTCCTCAACAAGAAGAGAAAAAAAACTAAAAATCCACGTGAAACAATTTTTGACTAAAAATTTTCTCAAAATAGAGAAGTAAGTTTGGTTAATCTTATTCTTATCAAACTTATGCTCAAGGTTCCAGTTGAAAAGGAGATGAGATTGCATTAAATAACAGCTTGGTACTGCACCATCCGACACATAAATGTAAGAAACTTCCCACTTCCTTACTAATAAATTCATATAGATCAAGAAAGTATCCCTAAAAGCAAGAAGACGACAATTATTGTCTGATAAATGAATGCATTAGTGATCTCACCTCATCAATGAGGTTAGGATCAGCTCCAGCTTTCAGTAAGCTGTTTATTAATTCCAGGTTACCATGGTCTGCCGCAATATGCAATGGGGTTGCTCCCCCAGCTGTAATATTAACTTTGGCACCAGCCTGCATGCGAGAAAACGCAAAACTCAGTGACAACGATGAAAATGTTTTGTGAGATGGCATAAAGTCGAATACAAAAGTTCCGTCTTGCAAGCATTATATTAGAAACAAAATAGTATCCAATGAACTCGAGAACCAAGAAAATACAAGACCTGAATAAGCAAGTCCAAGCATGCAAGTGAACCTGCTGCTACAGCCGACAATAATGGAGTGACATTATCCTCAGTTTCAGCATTAGGCTTCATAAGTAATCATAAAAAGCAGTAAAAGATTAAATCACATCAAAGAAAATATTAAAAACCGAAGCGTCTAAATAAAACACAGAAATTCTCTACTACTCAGAATTTTTGTATGAAAGTATTATAACATGAAAAGGGAACATACATTAGCATTATGCTCCAACAAAAATTTTACAGCATCGTGTTGACCGTGACCAGCAGCCCAAACTAAAGGGGTGCCAGCATCACTTTGCAAATCAACCTTAACACCCTTGGCCAGTATATGATTCAACAACTCAATATTCCCTGCAAGCAAAGTAGTGAATTTGAAGTAAGAATTCACAAAGATCCATGTACCATAGTAATATCGTACCGATATAAGATTAGCGAACTACCAAATCAGAATTGAAGTAAAAAACAGAAACAAGCCCCACTCTCAGAAAAGGAACACACAAGCTAAAACGAACACACCTATTCCAGCTGAATGATGCAACGCTGTGGCACCTAAGTCACTAGGAATAGTAGGATTGGCACCGCATTCTAGAATGTATTTCGCAGTGAGAGTATGACCTTGTCGGGCAGCATGAAGAAGAGGAGTCTCTCCTGCATTTTTAAGTAATTTAAAAATGTAAGTCAACAAAGCATCTTTAGCATACAAAGAACAAAGTAGTAAGAATGTTTTGGTCGTGTATGATGTAAAAAATCAAATGCATACCATCTTCATCTCTTGTATCAACATCAAGATTCAATTCTTCCAACAAGAATTTGCACACTTCAGTCTTTCCCTCTCTTGCTGCAAAATGAATTGCCCCTCTTTTGTTCGCATCCTTAATATCAGTCACTGTTTTTGCCAGTCCCTTCCCATCGTCAAGTTGAGAAGCAATCTCTACTCAAAACAATCATCCAAAGATAAAAAAATAAAAAATAAATTCATAAAAAAGACATTTCAGATTAACATTTAACCATTGGAATACTAAACTAAAGACAAAACATGAGTCGCCTTACTCTTGAGAAGATCAAGATTCCCGGTACAAGCTGCATTCAAAAAGTTTTGAACTTTCTGCCTCACTGCAACATAAACACAAACAAGTCCCCAAATTCAAATTCAAAACCATCGAATATTTGCATTCAGAGCACAACAAACAAAAGAAAATTCTTCAGCTAAACTACATATAACCCAAAAATCATAAACTTCCATCTATAATACACACATAAAGAGGCAAAGAATCCCACTAAAATATTCAATTTTTATTGCTCCAAAGGAATGAACGTTCTATCCTGAAAGAATTAAAACTTCAAAAAAAAGAAAGAAAGAAAAACCCAATAAACAGCAATGCAAAACTATATGCATAAAACACAGATAGCTGAAGAAAGTGGGAACCTGCAAGGGCAGCCGAAGCATCAGGAGCCATGGTTACTGTTTCCTCTGTAAAACCCTAAGCAGAATTATTTCTCTTTTTTATTGCTTTTTGTGGGGTTTGCTCTTGAAGTAGAAAAAGTTGCGAACTTGAATTGAAATAGTGGGCTGTTATTTACTAAAAAGAGGTTTCTGGGTCTTTTAGGGTAAACGAACATTTACAAGAGTTCTAGAGAGTAGAGATGGAATGTAATTTTTTTGCCTTTTTATAACTTATTTAATTATTAGAATTCAAACTAAATTTTAAATTATTTATTACCAAATTATCATTCCTTATTTAAATTTATTTCTTTTTTAAGTGAACTAAAATTTAGTTTTAAGAGGTAATACAATTTTATTAGTATATTATATCCGATTAATCATGAACATTAAATGTAGAGTTAATTGTATCATATATCCTCAAACTAGAACCACCATTTTAAATTGGTCCTTAAACTTTGGAATATTCTAATTACATTCTCATTCTAAATTAGTCCTTGAACTTTTGGACATTCTAATTTCATCCCTAAACTATGACCATCTTTCTAAATTAGTCTCCTAAACTTTTGAATATTCCTCTTTCATCCTCAAAATCATCCAAATATGTAATTAGTTTCAACCATAGTTTAACCTAAATTTTGTTTTCTTAAACATATAATAATATAATTTCACCTAATAATTTTATTAACAATGGATGTGATTAGTATTTATGTATAATTTTGGATGGAACTGGTTCAAAAAGTTTGGGGGTTAATTTAGAATGAATATCATAATTTGGGGATGAAATTAAAATATTTAAAAGTTTAAGGACCAATTTAAAATGAGAGTCATACTTTAAGGACATGTGATGAAATTAACTCTTGAATTTATGAAATTTATTTAAGTTTGTTGTATATTATATCCGATATAATCTGTTTTCTTATTCCCTTTTGGATTCTTATTTGTGTTAATAATTTATTTTATGTTTGGTTGATTAGTGAACGAAATTGGTAAATTTTCTGATGCAAAATTGAATGAGAAAATTCGAGAAAATCTTTGAGGAGATTTTACGGTCTAAACAAGTCTAAATTTTATTCTGAGCTTCTTAAATTATAATATCGATACTATCAGTATGTTAAACGTTTAGAGTGATAATTAATTTGATATCGTTTAAGTAAGATTTCAAGTTCAAATCTTTGTGTTTGATGAAAATCTCCGATGAAAAATTCACTCACCAAAACTAAGTGTATGGCCCGAGTTGATTCGAATTAGTTAAGACAAAACCTTCAAACTGGAATATCTCAAAATGCTTCACAATCTCCCTTTCTGGTACATATTTTCTTTTTCTTTATTCTTTATTCTTCTCCTTCTATGCGAGCAAGCTAGCCCCAAACACCTTTTCTAATATGATTGCATCACAGAACATGCCACAGCCTGCGCCCAATGCCTTAGCCTTGTCTTCACTAGCTCTGGATCTTCCCCTGGTCAACACAAATCGCCAAATGGCACCACATTTATGTATGTATGCATGCATGTATAGTTAGTTTGTGTGTGCTTTGGTATGACATAATGACACAATTAGTATTCGACTTTTATACAAATAGTAATTTTGTCTTATATGTTTTTAAAGTATTTAATTTCAACATTTTATTTTTTGATTAAAATAACTCATGTTAAATAAAAACAATTAGTTAACTAATGATCAATACATGTTGTTGATGTAGTATATACAGTGCCATCAAAGTGACAACTTAAAATATGTCACGTCATTTAAAATGATTATGTATCATATGCCACATCACACAAGTAATGGCGAGTCATGTATGACACAATCAGTTTAAATGATACGATATATATCACATAAGTAACATGTGTTAATTATTAATTAATTAAGTTTTCGTCTAATATAAGGGTAAAGCGATTATTTGTTAGGGCTATTGCCTTTTGGCATTGAAACGTTACCTGGGATACAAATCTTCCAATCTGACTCGCTTCTAGGACTTCCTAAAGAAGATGACCGATCACTGATGGATAATGTCGACGATGAGCATTGACTTTGAGGGGTCGAGACCGGAGTCGGAGAAAGCTGGCGGTTTACGGCGAAATAAAGGTCTAATGCAGGCAATGTTCTTGTTAGTTTTTTGCCTTCTTCTTCATTGAACCGGAATCCGAGCTCTAAGCACCCTTTAAGTTCATGCAGGTCTTCATCAGTCAATCCATTACCACTAATCCCATTCTTTCCTCTCCCTTGACGAAGAATCTGGCGACGCCTTCTTTCCCAAGCAATGTCCCGGTACGTCTCCACCATCGATAACTGCTTCGATAAATATCCCTTGTTGTTCTTCATCAGTGGCAACGGCACCAAGGACATGCGTTCCAAATCTTCCACTTCCGAGTCGCATAATGACGTTGACGGTGTGATGGCCTCTCTTCTTGGCTCTCTGTCCTTCACCATTTCCTTGTTCGCAATCAACGGAACTCGAATCGGAAGCTTGTTTTGTCGCGTCTTACCGGCCACCGAAGGAACCCGAGCTAATGGTGCCGGCGGCTGAGCAACAGTAAACAAAGAAAGTGAAGTGGTGGGGGAGGAGTGCTCTGCTGGAAATAGCAATATATTGCAAGTTCTATGTATTTGCTTCTTTTAAAATTTTCAATATGAAACAACACCAGCTCTACCAGGTTAACCCCGGAGAAGATTTCGAAGCCTTAAATGGAGAAAGAAAATGGATGGAATTCGTTAAGGATGATTCCGGTTGAATAATAACCATAAAAAACACAGTTCTTCCTTGTCAGTTGCATTGTATTTTGCTACAAGCTTTTGTTCTTACTAACTGTGAAACTGTCTGATGTCTTGTCTGAATGACAAGTGTGATACAGATTCTATTAATATCGAGAACAGTATTAAGAAAACGTACAACTTAATACATTCTGGTAATCAGTAGGCAAAACAAGTAGTTTTTTTGTCTGTTAAAAGAGTTGGAAACAACTTCTGAGAGTTCTAGCTTTCGTGAGAGCTGAGAAACAGTTTCAACATGAAAAATGCTAAATTTAGCAATTTTTGGCTCTCAGTTTCCAACAACTCTTTTTTTGTTTCTCAACGTTATCCCCTTTGTTGATCTTTCTGGTTTGATCCCTTTAATAAAGGGAAGTTGGTGCAAACCATGGAAGGATAGAGGATTATTTAGACTAATCTCATAAACTTCAAACACCAAAAATATAAACTAGTTTAGGGTTTACAGGAGAACTTAAAAAGATTTGGTTTTGTGTTCTTGCTTTGTTTTCCTCTCGCCATTGATCATGTTTCTTAGGGTTTTGTTTCCATTTTCAAACACCTTGAAAAACAGACAACGTTTATTGCTTTCCGTTGTCTGGTTTTCTCTCAGTTTCCATGTCTTTGTTCTAGTTTCGAGCAAGCCTTTGGCCGTGGCCTGTGGTTCCAGTGGTGGTAAAGATGAAGACGGTAGGAACTGGGAACCAGATCAGAAATTCCTTAAAACGTCCGGTAGTACAACTCAGCTTCAAGCTGATTATCAAGACCCTTCACTTCTTACAATAATCCCATACATGAATGCTCGGATCTTCACGTCGCCGGCGACGTATCGGTTCCCGATAAAATCGAAGGAACAATACCTGGTCAGGTTTCATTTTTATCCTTCAGCTTACCCCAACTTCAACATCAGCAATTCATTTTTCTCGGTGACTGCTGGGGGACTCACCCTGATGAACAATTTCAGTGCTGAAATCACATGTAAAGCCCTCACGCAGGCTTATCTCGTACGAGAGTATTCGTTGGCACCTTCGGATTCCGAGTTTCTAAACGTCACCTTCACACCTAGTACCAAGTACACAAACTCTTTCGCGTTTGTAAACGGGATCGAATTGATCTCCATGCCGAATCTATTCGGCGAGACAACCGTGGTGGGATATGATTCATCCGACCTCGATGTTTCGTCCGAGAATTTTCAGACGATGTTCAGGTTGAATGTTGGTGGACAGTTTATTCCCCCTAGCAACGATTCCGGAGGCCTTTTGAGGAGTTGGTATAATGATGATCCTTACATTTTCGGTTCTGCAAATGGTATCCATACTGAGGCGAACAAACACGTTCGGATCAATTACGAACAGTTGTCTCGTTCTTCGGCTCCCGAAGATGTTTATAGGACAGCTAGAGAAATGGGACTAGATTGTGATTTGAACTTAAAGTTCAACCTGACATGGTTGTTTCAGGTTGATGCCAATTTCACATACATTGTGAGATTACATTTTTGTGAATTCAAATATGACATGGCGAACCAGAGAGTTTTCAATATTTACATCAACAATCAATCTGCACAGTCTGATCCGACTCCGGCCGATATATTCGCATGGACAGGAGGAATGGGTATTCCAACTTACAGAGATTATGCAATATCTGTTAATGATGGCACAGGTGATGAAATGATTCGGATACAGATGAGTCCGTCCACAGAATCGAAACCGCAGTACTACGATTCTCTGCTCAACGGAATTGAAATATTCAAGTTAAATGATGAGAACAAGAATTTGGCTGGAAGCAATCCGCAGCCTTCGTCCATGCTTCTCGAAGCGGGGAATGAACCTCCGAAGTCTTTTGAGCCCAAGTCCAACCATAGTTTTGTGATTGCAGGGGCTGCAGGAGGTGTTGCAGCAGCTTTTGTGGTGGTTGCACTGGCGTTCCTCGCCTACAGAGAGAGGAAACGAGGCGGGTTCGACTCGCATACGTCGAGCTGGCTTCCGCTTGGGAACTCCCATGCAACCAAGAGCAATAGTAGCAATGCTTCGGCGTTGGTTCAAGGCCTTTCTCGCCGTTTCTCCATATCAGAAATAAGACAAGCCACAAGGAATTTCGATGACTCTAATGTAATTGGAGTCGGAGGCTTTGGTAAGGTGTACAAAGGAGTTATCGAAGGAGGCACCAAAGTGGCTGTCAAGCGATCCAATCCGTCATCCGAACAAGGCATTAACGAGTTCGAGACCGAAGTCGGGATGCTCTCGAAGTTGAGACACAAGCATTTGGTGTCACTGATTGGTTTCTGTGAGGATGGTGGTGAAATGTGCTTGGTTTATGACTACATGGCTCTTGGGACATTTAGGGAACACCTTTACAACAACAAGAAACCTCATCTTTCTTGGAAACAAAGATTGGAAATCTGCATTGGAGCAGCCAGGGGACTTCACTACCTTCACACAGGAGCAAAGTACACCATCATTCACAGAGATGTAAAAACAACAAACATTCTCTTGGATGAAAAATGGGTTGCTAAAGTTTCGGATTTCGGGCTGTCGAAAACAGGTCCCGGAATGAGTCAAGGCCATATAAGTACAATGGTAAAAGGCAGTTTTGGTTACCTAGACCCCGAATATTTTCGAAGACAACAACTCACCGAAAAATCCGACGTTTACTCCTTCGGTGTCGTCCTATTCGAGGCCCTATGCGCTCGACCGGTCCTGAATCCCAGCCTTCCAAAGGAACAAGTTAGTCTTGCAGATTGGGCACTCCTTTGTCACAAGAACGGAACACTAGAAGACATCAGTGATCCTCATTTGAAAGGGAAAATAGACCAAGCATGTCTACAGAAGTTCACAGACACAGCAGTGAAATGCTTATCCGATCAAGGAATCGAGCGGCCTAACATGGGAGATGTCCTGTGGAATCTCGAGTTTGCTCTTCAGCTGCAAGAAAGCTCGGATACCGCCGGCGGTTCGATTGAACGAGACACTCCCGCATCGAGAGATTCCGACGAAAGAAGCCAAAGACAAGGAAACAGCAGCCAAGGCAGTGACATTGAATTGAATGAAGAGCTTAACAATCAGGATGACATATTCTCTCAACTTTTCCATCCACAAGGCAGATAAAGGAAACAAATTTTTTTTTTTTAAAAAAAAGGCCGCCATGGATGGAACTGAAGCAGTATAGGAAGCACAAAGCCGTATTGGTATTGTACAATTTCGAAGCTGTAGTGATACTGTAGTTAAAATTTGTGTTTTACTATAAGAATCTACCATGTCAATGATTTGCAGTGTGATGGTAGGCAATTTCGTTATATAAATTAAGAAAACAAATTCAAACAATGCTTGAGTCTTGATTATTGAAATTTAAGCCTAACTTTTATCTTAAAAGAGTTTATTTTTTGTTTATCCAAATCTACTTTTCAAAACTAATATTTTCATCTAAACTATCTTAAACATATTGATTTCTTTTAATATGTTACAAGTATATTAATTGAATGTCTTGATCAATTCTATTGTTTTTCCAATTTAATTGAAACCTATTTGTTTAATTATTGTATCCGAAAAAATGTCTTCAACCAAGCTCCAGTGGTCTAGTGGTAGAATAGTACCCTGCCACGGTACAGACCCGGGTTCGATTCCCGGCTGGTGCATTTTTTATTCTCGTTCTCAGCCTCAAGCTTCTCTCTTCTTCAGTTCTTTTCCCTTTTTCAGCAAGGTAAATCATATGTTTTTTTTTTCTTCTTATTCATCCCGGTTTAGCTTTTGTTTTGTTTATGTATTTTTTCATTCGAACAATTGAATTGATTAGTTGATTATCCATCAATAAGCCGACCACTCTGAGCTGTGTTCAAGTTCTGCTGCTTTTCTCATTTGATTCTTCATTCTCTTTTTGGTTTGTTTGGATAACCATTAGCCTAAAATCTTGACTGTGTTTTTGACTCATTTCACTTCAGTTCCTGATTTTGTTTATAGTTTCCGTGAAATTCAATCTGGGTTTGTTTTATTTTTAGGGATTAACATGTTAGCTAATCCCATTCCCTTGAATTTTAATCTAACCTGTATATTTAGAAATTATCATTTTACCTTTAATTTTTGGTTGTTAGAGGCTCTTTGATTACCAAAGACTAAATTTTGTGCTAAAGAACTATTGTATGAAACTTGTTTTAGTTAGGTGAGAAAATTGTAACTAAAACAGAAGTGCTCAATGAACCTATGAAACTAAGCATAATTTGGGAAAATTTTGTTGAATAGGAAAATACATGTTTTCATGAAGTAAGGTACAAGGATGATCCTCTCCTAGTTGCTTAACATGTTAGTGCAATACACAAATTGAACCATGAAAGTTTACCTTTAAAAGCTTTGGAACCCTATGTGAATTGTTCATTAAAAAAAATCTTACATATACAAGTTGGATTACTCAAACTGAACCCCATCCAACACTCATAAAAGGATAATTATTTTGGTCCAAAAATTAGACTATATATTGACTATACATGACTGTTGTGGCTTTTAGGACTAATTTTCAACAAAACAGTTAAAAAGGATTTGCCTAAGGGGTGACATAATAAGAATGGATGACATATAGTTGACAATTCAACAAAACACTTGTAATATCCGCCTGCTAAATCATTTATACTTACTGTTTTTTTGGTGTGTTGTACTCTAACAAGAAAACCTTCAGCCCATAACAAAAGAAAGAACAAAAAAGGATCAAAAAATGGCTGAGCAGCAGCAGTGTGTTGAGATTCCTAGAGTGAAACTGGGAACACAAGGGCTTGAAGTTAGATTTTGTTCTTCTTGCAGTAGTTTATGTGAAAAGCTGTTTCTGAGTTGCATATAGGCCATGAACTCCTATTATTTTTGGTTCAACTGATGATTTGCAGACTGTAGAATTTCTGTTTATGATACATGATTTTCTTTGGTGGGTTTCAAAGTTGGGGTTTGGTTGTATAGGACTTAGTGGAGGTTACAATGACCCTGTCCCTGAAGAAGTTGGGATATCGATTATCAAGCAATCATACGATAGAGGAATCTCTTTCTTTGATACATCAGAGAACCTACTATTCTTAGTTGAATATGGAGTGTGCATGTACAAAAGTTATGATATCTTTACTTTTTCAAACCTACTATTCTTTTTGTTTTGCTATCAACAACTATGAAGTTTAAATGTGAGATTTATCAAAATTTTACTAGGTATTTATAATTTATTTATTTATTATTATCAATGTTTAAACTAAAAATAAGTTAAAATTAAGAAAAAGGTACCAGAAAAAAATAATGGGCATTTTATTTATTATCATCATTAATACTACTATTGATGCTAATATAAACAAATACTAAAAGCAATACCTCAAATTCAATATACACCGAAAGATCATAGAAATAAATTGTATCCATTATCAAAATCATAACAATTTAATAACTAAAAAGTGTTTTACATAGTTTCGTTCATAAATTATTCAAATAATAAAATTCATAACGGAGGTCTTTTACGGAAGCTGTTCTCAACCTGACGTTGGGGGCATCCTACTACTCAACCTC